CTCCTCCTCCTCATCATCATCATCATCATCATCATCATCATCATCATCATCACCACCACCATCATCATCATCATCATCATCATCATCATCATCATCATCATCATGCTCCCTCCTCCTCGACGATGCGTCGCCGATGCATCGCCGTCGGCGCGGATATCCTCGGGCTCCACATCGAGTCGCATCGCCGATGCATTGGCGATGGGGCGCGATCCTCCGACGCGACCTTCTCGGACCCCATCCAAGAGGCCTAGAGTAGCTCAGCCACATCACCCCACCACCCCAATTGGGGATAGGCCAAGCGAAACCCGCGAATCTCCCCATCCAGGCGATGCAAACCGGCCAGCGGGGCCAAGGCCACAACAGTGGGGATAGGGAGCGGTGAACGATGCTCATGTGCGGGGACAGCAAGCGACCACACCCACACCGAGGACACTCTGGGGGGCGTGTTGTGCGGGCCGAATATTGCTGGAACACCGCAACCAGCTTCGTACTGGTTGCGGTCGACGTGGCGTCCCAGGACGGCCGAATCAAACACAACCACAACCACATTGCTCGTGTCGAGGCTGGCGGGTTCTCCCCGAGAGGCCCTCCCGAAAAATCCATTCACTTGTTGTTGTGGTGCTTCGTTGTGCCCGGATAGTGGGCGAACGAAGACGTCCACATTCTTGTGCTGCATCTGCGGGGTACCTCGTCTGTCCCGTCGCGCCCCTATGCGCGCCGAATCCATGTCGAATCCGTGTTGCACTCGTCGAATCCACGTCGAATCCACGTCGAACCCGCGTCGAATCCACGCCAATTCCGCGTTGATTCCGAATCCAACCCGCGTCGGGAACAAGAAAAGACACACATGTTTGGGACAGACGAGGTCCCTCGAAGAGGCAACGCAATCATTCCACATCCGCGCAACCGAGGCGCGAGCCCACGGATACGCGACCCCATGACTGAGTTCCGCGCGACGTGTCCGCGCAGGGCCGCCAACGCACTGGTACGGCCGCGGCCGGTGAGGTCCAGGCCGCGACACCGCGACTACGGCACAGCCAACCCGTATGATGGGGATGCGCGATAAGGATCCCAAGGCCTTCGATGGCCATGCCAACACTCTGCGACCGAGGCGAGGCCAGCGAAAGCGGCCAACGGTGGGCCGAAGGGGAAGGACGCAAGGGTGCCTTGAGGAAGGTTGCTCAACCTTACTATGCTGGTTGACTGTACGGCAGGTTCGCACGGCCTCGGCGGGTGAAATAGAGTTTTGACAGCGCGTCGAGCGTTCAAAACTTGACTCGATCGCGGCCCCGATCTCCGAAGGTTGACTTCCGTTGGGTCAAGTGGCGTCACCGCGTCACGCGGCACTACGTGCTGGCCCGTGGACCCCATGCTGCCCATCGGCCCTCGGCAATCCTCGGCGGACTCTGGAAGGTGTTCGGCGGGTTGACCCACAAGGGGGTCCAGCGACATGGGGGTTGTGCAATAGATGTGGTGTAACATATGTGTGGGGTTGCAATACATTTGGGGCGTGCAATACATTCCAGGGCGCGCATGTATTGCTGGATTTTCGCGAGCAATACATTACTTGCCATGCAATGCAATACACTTCTTCGGGGCAGTACGTCTGCAACACACTTGCCCCAAAGCTATATTGCACCACCCCCTTTAAGCTGGACCCCCTTTTGGGTCGCAAACACGGGCGGCTGTACTTGGCAAGGGGCATGTGGTCGAATGCTTGGAAACTCGGAACTTTCATGATCTCGGGGCGTTGCGAAGAAGACAAAACGAGGTTGGGTTGCCTTGTTTCAGGCTCCGGGGCCCTCAGGGAAAAATCTGCCTCGGGGAATCCCTCACACCCGAGGGGCCCAAAATTCTGGTCGTCATTTGTTCATGACATCCTGATGGGTCCGCGACGTCGCATGTCGGCATTGACCTGAGATCCGTCTGCCATTGGGGTTTCGAGGCGTGGGGGTCAGCCAACGGCTCATCATCGGGTCACTCCTGCTCCTAGCCCTCGGATCAGTCGGCCGCTTCTGAAAATCAGGGATGGGGATGCTTGGTTGGCCCACGGGCACCCACTCCGGGTAGCCCATCTCTGTTGCGCCATCGTCTTCGACAAAGAGCGCGGACAACAGAACCTTGTCCTCCCAACTGGCGCCGTCGAACAGAGACGAGCCCAGCCCCGCGCCGCCCCCACGAGGCAGCCAGCGCACCGGTGGGAACGCGGCCGCGGCTCCCTGGGAGTTGCACAGCCGCGCGCTGAGCTCCTCGGCGCTCTGCCACAGCTCCTGGCTCAACTCCGGCGGAGCCGCGTCGCCCTGGCGAGAGGGCAGGTCGATCCAGCTGCCCAGGCTGCTGAAGACCTCGGTGGGGCAATAGACGAAAAAGAACACACAGTGGAAGGGACCTCTGAAGCTTTCGTCAGGCCTGCGCAGTGTGCATCGGAGGAAGAACGCGGCTGAGCACAAGAGGGCGTGCAGACAGCTACGGAGCTCGGACATGCAGAAGCAAGGTGCGGACGACGCTGCAAAGCCCTCCGCGCTGGATAAACATATAAACTGCTGGCGCTCCGCGCGGATTTCTCGGATCTGCGCTGGAGCCCCCTCCCTGGCGCGCTCCGCGCGGCAGGGGCGGCGCCGGAGGCGCCGCCAGGGCGGATCCGAGAAATCCGCGCGAAGCTCCGAAAGCTTATGTTTATGAAGGGGAACTGGAACACACAAATAAATACACACAAATAAAAATATCCCCCATATTTTCCCATATTTTCTGGGTTTCTGTCTTCCCCCCCACTTCCCATATTTTCCCATATTTTCTGGGAATCGCCGATTAATTGTGTCTGTGTGTTTTTTTCCCTCCTGAGTTTATGCCACCTTTCTGCCTCGAGGCAAGCAAGAGCACCGGCAGCGCTGCTCCCCCAGACCTCTCCGGGGGCGCCGACCCCGACAGGGGCACTCCGACGGCGGAGGTCCGGCCGTGGCGGCGAGGGCCCCCCCCCCCACCGCGGCAGGCCCGACAACAGAGGCCGAGGCATGCGGGGACGGCATCGGTGCAAAGGCCTGCGCTTTCGGGGATGGACAGAGACCTCCCTTTCAGTAAAACGTGGTTCAGTGACAACGACCTCGGGCCCAAACCCGGCGGGCGCAGGCCCGGAGAACGACGGCCGCGGCGCCCTCTCGAGAACCGAAAACGGACAACTCACTAATCGACGTGTCAGGGTAGGAGGTCTGTCCACCCCCGACTCTTCTGCTCTCTCGCAGTCGGGGGCCGACAGGGCAGGCGGACGTATGCTGCCACACGGGCTGCCTCGCTCCTCGAGCCTCGGGCCCTCGAGCCCTCGGGCCTCGAGCCCTCGGGCGGGCGTCGGCGCCTCCTCGAACCCCCCCGCGCCGTGTTGTGCCCCCCGAAGCCGGGCCCCACCACAGCGAAGGTGCGGGAAGGCGCCTCGTTCCACCGACCCCCTGTCCCCAGGGGCTTGGCCTGGGCCCCACTGGCCAATTTGCTCCCCCGGATGGGTGTGTACACATATGTATATATATATATATATATACATACATCCTTACATGCATACATACATACATACATACATACATACATACATACATGCATGCATGCATACATACATACATACATACATACATACGTACGTACGTACGTACGTACGTACGTACATACATACATACATACATACATACATACATTCATACATGCATACATACATACATACATTCATTCATACATACATACATACATACATACATACATACATACATGCATGCATGCATGCATGCATGCATGCATGCATGCATGCATACATACATACATACATACATACATACATACATACATACGTACATGTGCAGTGGAGACCAGCCCACAAGGAACCTGCCACAAGAAACCCAACCCCTGAGACCCCAGGACGTCCATGGATTTTTGGCGTGGAAGCGTCGCGCTCTCCTTATCAAAACCATCGAGACCCAAGAGACCCAGGGCACCCTGGAGGCAAGCAGGGTGTTTCTTGGCATGGGCCCCCACTGTACAACCAACCCGTATCAGAAGGACGCACGATAAGGATGCAATGACCTTGGAAAGGCATTGCGCAGCTTCTCGAGCGGGGCACGGCCAGCGAGAGTGGGCAAGGATGGACCGAGGAGGCAAGGATGCAAGGGTACCCTCGGGAAGGTTGGGGTTCACTGCAGTTTTCTTCCTTCCAGTCTGGAGGGGCATACCCCTGGCCAGGGTGCTGAGATGGCGGGGGCCTAGATGGGCATGGGGATTGGCATGGGGATGGGGCCGACTTAACGATACTGAGCATTGGTAACGGTGAGCTGTTCTCGGGCTCCACCAAAGGAGGGGTGACCTTGAGGGGGGGGGCATGACTTCGATCCGCTGGTGCACCGAGCTGCCGCAAACAGATGCCCCCCGCATGCCCCACTTGTCGGCAACCATGGGGAGTTGCCTGCGGCTGGGGGGCATCTGTTTTGGGCGGTTCGGTGCAAAAACCTATCGAACTCACGCACACACACACACACACACACACTTTGCATCGGCGGCTAGGCAAAGGTCGACTGCTCTGGCGGGTACGCAACAGGGGACACGCTGTATGCAAATGAGGGCCGCAGCACGGGAGGAGGAGCCCCGGCGCGACGGGCAGAGAGGAAGCCGGACCACTCGGAGCTGCCGACGGCGCGGGGGGAGCGCCGAGGTGGGAGACCAGCGCCGGCACTGAGCTGCACGGAGCTGCACTGAGCTGTACTGGGCTGAAGCTGCACACACACACACACACACCTGAAGGGGCCCTGGGACACACAAAGAAATACACACAAATAAAAAGATTCCCCATATGTCCCCATATTCTCTAGGTTTTTGTCCTCCCCCCCACTTCCCATGTTTTCCCATACTTTCCCGGGAATCGACGATTACTTGTGCCTGTGCTTTTTCCCTCCTGAACACCGGGGCACACACCCACTCTGCGGGATCCTTAACGGGCGAAGAACGGTATAAAATAAACTGTTTCGCTGTCGGGGGCGCCTGTCCCTGGGCGGCTGGAAGAATTATACCCCTACGGTGCCACCGTAAGGGTATAAACTTTCCGGCCGCCCTGGGACAGGCGCCCCCGACAGCGAAAAAGTTTATTTTATACCGTTCTTCGCCCGTTAAGATCCCGATTCTCTCTCCCCCGGAGGGCCAGGCGAGCGTCGGGGCTCAGCCCGCTCGCCATGTACTCCGCCAGCGTGGGGTGCTCCGGCGCGGGCAGCGGGGCGGCCGGGTCGGCCGGCAGCGTGTAGACGCGCGGGTAGAGGGCGGACACGATAGAGTGGACGGGCATCCTCGCGCGCGCGCGCGAGGGGAGGAGGAGGAGGAGGAGGAGGAGGAGGAGGAGGAGGAGGACGGAGGGATGGAACGATGGCCGATGCCCGAACGACCCCAACGAGCAGGAGGGGGAGGAAACGACCGTGCCTTCTGAGAGGGCGCGCGCGCGATAGGAAGGCACCAACTATACACCAACACCGATCCTGGCCAGGATCACCCTGGGCCCAGGATCGGTGTGTACGCCCTCCTGCCTTGGGCAAGGAGGCATATACACCGATCCTGGGCCCAGGGTGATCCTGGGCCAGGATCGGTGTTGGTGTATAGTTGGTGCCCTCCGACGCGAGGGCGCGCACGGGTCACGGGCGGCGAGGATGTCCTCACGTGTGCGACCGTGGGCCGTCTTCGGCGGCCTTCGGGCGGTCTTCGGGCGGGCTTCGCCGGCCTTCGGGCGGCCTCCGGCCGGCCTTCTGGCGGTCTCTGGCGGTCCCCAGCGGTCGTCGGCGCGAGAGCTGGACGGTGGCGTTCCGCCAAGGGGTCCATGAGCGAACACCAAAGTCGGCTGGGTGCTCATGGTAGGGGGGGGGGGGGGGGCACATGCGAACCCTACCCTACCCCCACGATTTCTGGGGGGGAGGGTGGGGTTCACTTCGTTCGGGAGCTCTCGAACGTGAACCCCACCCTCCCCCTCAGCAGAGATCGTGGGGGGTAGGGGTAGGGTTCGCACGTGGCCCCCTACATGGGGGGGGGACCCATATGGGGCGTGGGGGGGCCCTACATGGGGGGGGGGGGGTCCCACATGGGGGAAGAACAGGCCCCCCCCATCAGGGCCCCTGTCGGGCACCTGCGGGCTCAAAACGGGGCCCCGAAGGGCACCTTCTTATGGCCCTTCACTTCGCCCCGCCAATTTTGGGCCACCCCGCATCAGCACCCGCCCGACAAATGTCCGCATGCGCGCCCTCGCGGCCTGGATTCCAAGGCCCGACCCCGCGGACGCGCGGTCGCTCGGCCGTGCACTCCGCGCGGGGCATCCGCGGAGGAGCGCCCCGCACAGCCGCGGGGTCGAGGCCCCGGGGCCTGGCCCGCGAGGCCGCGGGTACGGGCATGCTCCCTCCCAGGAGCATGGACGCACGCGCACGCCCACACACGTTCCTGATCGGGGCGGCGAGCTGGATCCAGCGAGGATGAGGAGGAGGAGGAGGAGGAGGAGGAGGAGGAGGAGGAAGAGGAGGAGATGGAGCCGAAGGAGGAGGAGGAGGAGGAGGAGGAGGAGGGGAGGAGGAGGAGGAGGGGGAGGAGGAGGGGGAGGAGGAGGAGGAAGAGGAGGGAGGAGGAGGAGGAGGAGGAGGAGGAGGAGGAGGAGGAGGAGGAGGGGAGGAGGGGAGGGGGAGGGGGACGGGGGAGGGAGGAGGAGGAGCTGGAGAGTCACGGAGACGGCCAACAGCACCTACATCTCAGGCGGTCGCCCAACGGCGGGGCGCGTCGGAAGCGAGCTGGGCCCAAGGGGAGGGGAAGAAGGGGACGACGGAGGGCCGCGAAACGGGCGGAGAACACCCTCAGAACGGAGAGAACTTCGGGACGTGCCCAGATAGGGGAACAAAAAGTGGCATAAACATAATTACTCACTGCGTGGAGCTCCCCATATGTGCATCTCATGTTTTATGTCATGCCGTGGCGAGCGTCTGTTCATGAGCGGTCGACTACAATAGCGCGTCCACGTGGGCGACAGGGCCGACGAAGACGAGTGACCCCTAACGCGAGTGATTGCGTATGAGTCAGAGTGAGCTTTGAGTATGGTTGAATGCGAGCCTCTTTCTCTTCATCCCCCCTCCTCAGCTGCCAGGCCTTCCCCTTTTCAGCCCGTGGTAGCTTTGGAGCTTCCCACATGTGCATATGTTGTAGGATAGTTGGCAGTGGGATATGTAAGACGAGCGTTTAGCCACACAAGGCCATAAGTGCATGTCATGTTGGAGGATAGTGCCACGGTGAGCATTTCCAACGATCCCCGCACACAACCACCGCCCCCCCCTCGCAGTCACCCCCTATGAATACATATATATATATATATATACATATATACATATATATATATATGTCCTGGACTTCGGAACAAACGTTCTGCTCGCGTCAAGGACCTTCGAGCAAAGCGCCCTCCTCCTCCTCCTCCTCCTCCTGTTCCTCCGCCCCCTCCCTTCTCCTGCTCCTGCTCCTCCTCCTCATCCTCCTGCTCCCCCTCCCCCTCCGCACCCCCATGCCCTTCCTCACGATCCCCCGCCTCCTCCTCCTCCTCCTGTTCCTCCTCCTCATCCTCGTTCCTGTCATTTCCCTCCCTGTTGAGCCCAGAAACAAGCGAACCGCCTGAGACATCCCCACAATATGGCTGCGAACGTGCCCGTGCAACCACCCCTGGCGGCTCCCCATGGGGGTGCTGCAACCAGCGCCCCGCTTGAGACATCCTCACAATCTGCTCTCCAAGCGAAGGATGTTGAGCCCAGAAACAAGCAAACCGCCTGAGACATCCCCACAAAATGGCCGCGAACGAGCCCGTGCAACCACCCCTGGCGGCTCCCCTTAGGGGTGCTGCAACCAGCGCCCCGCTTGAGACATCCTCACAATCTGCTCTCCAAGCGAAGGATGTTGAGCCCAGAAACAAGCAAACCGCCGGAGACATCCCCACAAAATGGCCGCGAACGAACCCGTGCAACCCCCCGCCTGAGACATCCTCACAATCTGATCTCCAAGCGAAGGATGTTGGGCCCAGAAACAAGCAAACCGCCTGAGACATCCCTACAAAATGGCCGCGAACGAACCCGTGCAACCACCCCTGGCGGCTCCCCTTAGGGGTGCTGAAACCAGCGCCCCGCCTGAGACATCCTCACAATCTGCTCTCCAAGCGAAGGATGTTGGGCCCAGAAACAAGCAAACCGCCTGAGACATCCCCACAAAATGGCCGCGAACGAGCCCGTGCAACCACCCCTGGCGGCTCCCCTTAGGGGTGCTGAAACCAGCGCCCCGCCTGAGACATCCTCACAATCTGCTCTCCAAGCGAAGGATGTTGGGCCCAGAAACAAGCAAACCGCCTGAGACATCCCCACAAAATGGCCGCGAACGAGCCCGTGCAACCACCCCTGGCGGCTCCCCTTAGGGGTGCTGAAACCAGCGCCCCGCCTGAGACATCCTCACAATCTGCTCTCCAAGCGAAGGATGTTGGGCCCAGAAACAAGCAAACCGCCTGAGACATCCCCACAAAATGGCCGCGAACGAGCCCGTGCAACCACCCCTGGCGGCTCCCCTTAGGGGTGCTGAAACCAGCGCCCCGCCTGAGACATCCTCACAATCTGCTCTCCAAGCGAAGGATGTTGGCCCAGAAACAAGCAAACCGCCTGAGACATCCCCACAAAATGGCCGCGAACGAGCCCGTGCAACCACCCCTGGCGGCTCCCCTTAGGGGTGCTGAAACCAGCGCCCCGCTTGAGACATCCTCCAAATCTGATGTGTGTTGAGTAAGTCTGAGTATGAGTAGGTCTGAGTATGAGTATGCCTGAGTATGAGTAAGTCTGTGTATGAGTAAGTCTGTGTATGAGTAAGTCTGGGTATGAGTAGGTCTGTGTATGAGAAAGTCTGTGTATGTGTACGTCTGGGTATGAGTAAGTCTGAGTATGAGTAATACTGTGTATGAGTAAGTCTGGGTATGAGTAAGTCTGTGTATGAGTACGTCTGGGTGTGAGTAAGTCTGTGTATGAGTAAGTCTGTGTATGAGTACGTCTGAGTGTGAGTAAGTCTGAGTATGAGTAGGTCTGAGTATGAGTAAGTCTGAGTATGAGTAAGTCTGAGTATGAGTAGGTTTGAGTATGAGGAAAGAGGAGGAGGGGAGGAGGAAAGAGGAGGAGGGAAAGGGAGTAGGAGGCGTCCAAGTAATAACAAGAACCCCATCTTAGGATATGGGGAAAAACTCCGAGGTCCGCGCAGATTTCTCGGATCGGCGCTGGGGCCCCCCGGCGCCGCCTCCGGCGCAGCCCCTGGCGCGCTCCGCGCGCCAGGGAAGGGGGTCCAGCGCCGATCCGAGAAATCCGCGCGGACCTCCGAATTTTTGTGGTTCTGTCACGGTTCGTTCCCCGACCAGAGCGCACGCCCACGCTGTGTCCGCACCTGGCAGGGTGACGGCGCCATCGCGAGCGCCAGGGCAGGGCACAGTCGTGCGCGCCGGGTGGCCAAACACACGCTGCAGGCGGATGACTGCGCTGGGAAGCCACCCGCGCACACGTTTCTGCGTCGGCGGCTGGGCAGAGGGGCTGATCCGGCGGTGCGGCACTGGTGGGGCACACAAAACGCCCACCACACACGCGCACACACACGCACAACAGAAACAACACACACAAGCAAGAACACGGGCGCAGACGCCGGCACGCACGAACGCGCAGATCCTCTCACCTCCGCCTGATCCTGCTGATCGACACGGGATATGCTCTGCGGCTGCACTGAAGCCAATCGCGGGCACCTGCGGGGCAGCTACGAGGTCGTCGCGGGACGGCCACGGCGAGGCTTTAGAACGGCTACGAGGTCCTTCAGCGACTGCGACGTAGCGATGCATTGCTGATCCTCCACCGTGCCAAGAGGCACTGAAGTCTTTCGAACTTTTCATTGCGCATATGGCCAACACTTCCAGATGGGGACGTGGCCCGCTAAAATCCATGAATGTCTGGCGCTCCTGGAATTCGCCGCGTGGCCCTTCCCGAGGCCCCCGCACCCAAAACCCCCAGCGTGTCGCAGGATGGCCCTGGGGAGCCCGTGCTTGAGACGAATACAATCAAGTCGCATGGTAAGGATGACCAACTTTCACACAAAATACCCTTGCATCCTTGCCCATTCGGCCCGTCACTGTCGACTTTCGCTGGCAACCCCCATCCAAAAACGCCGACATGGGCCATCCAAGGCCCCTGCATTCTTCCCGCGCGTCCTTCTTATGGGACTGTGGCCAGAAAGCCCCGTGTCGTCAGGAACCTAACCAAGGGGGAAAAAG